TTTAGTTTTTCCCTCTTATTTAATATTAAAGTTCTAAATACCTCTAGCTAAGTCCTTAGTATAATCTTAATAAAAATAGTATAGTTAAGAGGAAAGAGTAATAAGGGCGCGCTAGTAAGTTATTTACCTCTTAGCTATATACTAAGGTATAAGATTAACGTTATAAAGAACCGCTTATAAAGAGAAGGGTAGGGACCTTATATAAAGGTATTTACCCTTAGTATAGGTCTAGGTATTAGCTTAGACCTTAGCTAATAGTATTATAAGGCAAGGTAGGCTATATATATAAATATATATTTAATAGCGGTAAGCGTAGTATATAATTAAATCCTATATAGCGTATTATTATAATATAATAAAAGGCACTTATAGTATATCCTTTTACTTACCTTATTATAACGCTGTTTTTTATATTTATTTAGTATCTTAATTAATAAAGAAGATTTTATTTAAAGAAGCTATTAATATCCTCTTAACTACTTAAGCTTTCTACTAGTTTTTCCCTTTTATTTTAGCTATTACTAGTATATCTATCTTATTTCTTACTACCTTTATAAGAAGCTATTACTACTTTTACTTCCTATCTTACCCTTACCCTTTTCTCTATACCTCCTTTTAGCTCTTTCTTCTTTTTTTTATACTAAGCGTCTTTAGCTTCCTAGGTCCCTCTTACTAAGGGATATCTTTAAAAACTATAAAATTAAGCTATACTTTATAATATTACTAGCCCTTCTATCTTATCTCTTACTACCTTTATAAGAAGCTATTACTATTATAAAAACTATTATACTATATAAGTAAAAGTAAAACGCGCTTTAATAAGTATACTATAAATAATATATATTTAATAACTATAACTTTATAATAATTACTACTTTTACTTTCCTACCCTCCTCTTTATACTTCTTTTTTTCTTTTTATACTAGTGTTTTTAGCTTCTTATATCCCTCTTAATTAAGGATTTCTTTAAGAACTATAAAATTAAACTATACTTTATAATAATTATAAAATATAGTAAAATATTAAAAAAAGAAAAGTAAAAGAAAAGAAAAAATAATTAAGGGTTAAAACTATTATTTTATAATACTAAAGTACTATAAGCTATAATACTTAATACTATTAAATAATAGTATTAAAATAAATTCTAGTTATTTTATATATATAAGAGGTAATTACTTATAATATTTTTAAATTTTAATAAATACTATATAAGTAAAGCTAGTTAATTTTATATAAAGCAGTACTATTTTTACTAAGTATAAGGTAGGTATAAGGAAAGGTGTTTTCCTACTATAAATAAAGTAGCTATAATATTCTCTCCCGATTATATAAGCTAATAGTAGTATATTAATTATAGAAAAATTACTATATAATAAAGTAAGGAAAGCTTATTACTTTTTATATTATTATTTATTAAGCGGACTACTAGTTATCGTTTAATCGGGAATAAAAGAAATAACGCTTAGCGTAAAATAAGCTTAAAATATACTAAGATCCCTAATATAATAAGCCTCCTTTAAATATAAATAATATAAGAACTAAGACACCTATAGTTATATAAAAATCATTACTAAATCCGTTAGATAGAGGACTTCCTAGAAGCTAAAGTTCGGTCTTAATAGGTACCCTCGTTTAGCTATAATTATCTATAAAAGACTAGACGTCCGCCGATAAATAGATAGAGAATTATTAACTTTATTACCTCTTCTATATACTAATATACTACTAATAAATTCCACTAAAAATCCTACCTTATACTCCTTCTTCCTCTCTATTATATAGTATTACGTAATTCCTTAATTTCCTAAAATTCCGCTATTTCTTATATACCTTTAGAGTAGGTATAAGCTAAAGGTAAGGGTAGGATAGTAGTTAATATATATTATATATTACTATCTTCCTTCTTCCTACCCTAGACCTAAGCCCTTATTTATATCCGCTTTCTTTCGTATAGGGTTAAGGGGGGCTAGGGACTCCTAGCCTCCTCGACTAGAGACGTTGTAGTCTTTAATAGCAGCGTTATCAGCTCCCTTGTTAGCCCAGCTACCCATGGGTGACCTGGCTGACTCAGCCGAGAAACGTTCTTCGCGACAGTACGCACTTCAATTAGTTAAAGAATTCCCTACCCGTTGATCTTGGTGTGGGGCCACAGCAGCCCAACTAAGTGTCTTCGCCACTTAGTTGGCCCAAAAAATCCGGCACAGCCCAAAAAATCCGGCACAGCAGGGTCCTCAATTTGGGGTGCAAAATCAAGGAAATTCTACGCTTCGCTTCATGGTGCCGTCAATGCGACTTCAAATAGCTAAAATATACATGTGATCAATAGCTGCGGATCACCTAAAGACGCAAGTAACAACGAAAAGTGAAAAATATCACGTCTTTGGGCCTATTTAGGAGCTGCCGCCTTCCAGTCGAAGAGATAGGAAGACCGCGTTTGTGAGTCCAAATAGACGTATTATGTAGTAATTTCGCCTGTTGTGCGTCTCTGAGAAATATTTATCCATACCTGTGTTCCTGGAGCGTCTGCTGTATCTTGTTGGACGATCGGGTGCGCGGTCGAGGGCATGGTGTATCGACTACCGCTTCAACCGCTGCTAACGGCGGCGATGAGGGTATATTCTCTTGCGTGTCGAGTAAATTGTCCTCGTCTTCATCGTCGGCGCCATCCTCACTATGTTTGTCAAGATCGAGGCCTGTGAAATAGACGGTATCGTCACTGCCGGGCAACGACGACATATCTGTAAGTGGGCGAGGTCGGGTGCGCGCGCCCTGACATCTCTGGCGGAGTTATTTCTCTCGTGGTATCATAGAAAAGGATTCCTGGATGGCTCTTTGAGCTCCCGCATGAGGGTATCGCAACTTTGCTCCAGAGTGTAGAACTCAACGTCTCGTCCCGTAAACTCTAGCCAGGGCTTAAAGTTCAATGTCTTGACTCTGCCATTGACTAACTGCTTCTTCCCGACTTTATAGTCTTCTCGGATCTTCTGCATCTCTCCACGAACTCGTTTAAGATGCATCCTTATCTCCTGGCGCGTTTGAAGCCGGGTTTGCTTTGCCTGGAGCTCCTCATACTCCCGGTGATGTCGGCCATGCTGGAGCTCGTGATAAACTCTCCGCGCGGCCTGACAATCTTGCCTCTCTTCATTCGATTCGCATACGCCTGGGTTCGGCTATTCTTATCGCTGACTATGCCCTGGGAATGTGACGCCATCGCGATAGACTCGGTGTTCACTTTCGCAAGAACCCGCAAGTTTTCTCGTGATGGCGAGCTCATGAGGGGCCCATACCGTTGCCGGATATCATTGAGGGCATCCGCGGCGACTTGGAAACGCGTCTCCGAGGGTAGGAGCGAGGCGTATGCAGGATTGATCGGCTGCTGTTGTCGTAGCTGCTCGTGGAGGATCTTGGTGATCACCGGCGCTGGGTCGACAGGAAAGAGGCCTGTTTTTCAAATGCCGCCATAATGTTATGCCGCGTGAAGCCAGCCTCATATACGTCCTGAAAAGCTGTGGGAAGTTGACCCGCGAAAATGATATGTTGCCTTCTGCGAGCGACTTCCGAAGCGCTGATGTGCTGACTTTAGTGGCTGGAATACCCCAACATCAAGCGGCTGCATGAGGTGGGTGGAATGTGGAGGAAAATAGCAATGATGATATCAAACTTGATACAATACTCAGCAAAGTCAAGGGTGGTATGCCCTGTAAAGCCATCCACAACAAGCAATCGGTAGATCTTCTCGTCGTCAGGCCGTTGGTTTGGCGGCGCCTCCACGCGACTCATCCCCATGTTGGGGCGCCGAAGATGCTCGTCACAGCCGAACCACTCTTCCAGCGAATTTCCTGACTGTTTTGCTTGCGCTGACGATGCCCAAGACCAGCAGTTGAAATGCCTTGCCCACTCAAGGTGTATCTCTGCGTTGGAAAAGCCAGTTGGCGACTGGGCAAACCGTACGCCTGTCATGATGTCGATGCCGGCCCAGTTGGTGGTAGGGTAATGTTGGAAAACAAGCCAGGGTGGAAGAGAGTCCCCCACTGCGTTAACTGAGGCAATTACCGTGCAGGATTCTCGGTTTGCTGGGTCTAAAACTCGGGGCCGGGTGCTCTTGACTCTAGTGGTGCGCGTGATGAGAACTTGATGCGTTCTCGCAGGCACCCAATGCGTATTCCGGCCTCGTCTTCATTCCAGATCTCTGAACTGCCAATACGGTAGCTGGTGATGATTTCTCGAAGCTTTGAGTAGAAAAATTCGACTTCTTCTACCCGTGGGCTTCAAAGGACTTCCGGGCTCGTTCAACTGCTTTGAGATACGTCTTCGCGATCGCAGGATGACTTCCGCGCCAATTGTCAAGCCAACTTGACGAGACCGGGCGGGCATTGGGATCTCGACGCATTCTTATTGCATTTGCAACAGCTTCAAGTTGCTCTCTCGTGGCGGGCATGCCGGTGCGTTCCATCCACTGTACATACGCAACCAGGGCGTCGTCTTCGTCCTCCGTCAGCGCCAATGGACGCCCTGGAGCACGGAAAGGGGTTTCTTATGAAATTAATGGCTCTCTGTACGGATGAGCTCTTCACATTGTAACGGATGGCCGCATCTCGCACGGAAAGAGGCGTTCTTTTTGGTGTTGTTGAGCGACGAACATCGGCTCTGGGGTCGCGACGAGACGCCAGAACGGCTTTTGCTGCCTCCAGGGTAGCCATGTTATCTGTCATAATGTATTCCGGCAAAAAGATACGTAAATAAAGTCAAGTTGCGCGAGAAAACGCGGTTGAGATGCATAGGGTTGACGTTTTGGAGGTGGGCTGCTGTGCCGGATTTTTTGGGCTGTGCCGGATTTTTTGGGCCAACTAAGTGGCGAAGACACTTAGTTGGGCTGCTGTGGCCCCACACCAAGATCAACGGGTATACCTTTTCTTTTTTTCTTACTAGTCAGCTTATGGCTGTGAGACTATAGTTCCAGCTGTTGTATTTCGAGCCAATTCCGTTCTCTTCTAATCATCTCAATCCACATCGTTCGAGAGAGTACTATTTGCCTCGAGTTGCTCGATATAACGTTCGCAACCGTTCCTATTCCAGGCCTCTTCAAAAGCCTTGGATGCCTCTTCATAAGCCTTGGATGCCAGGTCAAAAACCTGGGATGCCTCTCCGCACTTAATCAGGTTTTGATCCTCTATCTGGTCACTGGCGCCAGGGACCGCGTCTGTAGTCGGGTTGTTACCCGCGTCGGCGTTTGTGTTGCCGTCAGCCACACGCTTCGGCAGGATGCAATCCCTGACATCTTCATCGCCATCTTCTGCCCCGGTGCCAATCGTGTTCGGCTCATTAAGGCATTCCTCAACTGCATCAATGCAAGCAGACGCATCGTCCACAATGCAAGCCTTGCTCTTACCGCTCATACAGTCCCATATAGGCATTTGCTCCTTGCGGCACAGCACTAGTGCGTCGTCGCATTCTTGAAGTCCGTCTTTTACACAAAACTGGACCCGAAACTTATCCACACGTTCTGGGGCCGGCTTTGCTTCTTGTCGGATCATGATTGAGTGCGCAGCAGCTAAGCTGGCAAATGAGACCAGGGCTAGGGGATGGCGCTTCATGATGCCTTTTGAGAGGTTCGAGAAGATGGTGTAAAGATTGTGACTTGTGCAAAGGCGAGTTGTCGTCTAGGTGTATAATGCGTCTGGACCACAAGCGCTTATATATATTTGTAGAATCCTCGATGCTCAGTTAGCCTTTATATAACTCGAACTGCGGCTGCTCATACATCTTATATCGCACAGGCGTGACAAGGTGCAAAGGCAAATATATCTAACCGTCTTCCCGACACAGTGTGCCTAGAGGTGTAAATACCTACTTGGTATGGACGAGTCAGACTACCGGCTAGACTGACTTGTTGGTCACACCACAGCGGTTTAAAATGGACACAAATATTTGCAATAGTATTACCCCGTTGGTCTAGGCGTGGGGCCACAGCAGCCCAACTAAGTGGCGAAGACACTTAGCTGGCCCAAAAAAACCCGAGACAGCACAAAACCCCCCGGGACAATCCTGGGGCCTAGTAGTTTACTAGAACAGTGTTAAGAAGATGTTAGTATTTCTTCGAAAATACGGTAAAATCCTAGGTACTTAATTCTAAACACTTATATTAGTAGTTTCCACTATTCTACAATTGTCCCGGGGGTTTTTGTGCTGTCCCGGATTTTTTGGGCCAACTTAACGGCAGTTAAGTTGGTCAGCCGCCCCTGCCTTTGACCAACGGGTAGTTGTTAATAGCTGAGAATGTGATGGGAGGGTGGCTAAGTAAGATAACGCTTGTCCGGTTATAGGCATAACCTAGTAAAAGCCTATGCCTTCTTGTATTTTAGAAACGAACGAAGCCCCGGCCAAGACGATTATACTACGCCTCTCGGCCGATCAAGTGGGTTCATCCCATCCGATGTCGGCTGATATCAAGCGCGCGATCTTGAATACGAGGATCAACCGTTATAAGACGGCGGAAGAATAATAAGTCTCTAGAGAGATACGTCTTCCGCAACGGCCTGGTTGTGAACGCTTATACCGGCCAACTCGAGACAAATATAATAATTAGGCGTACTCGCGTCCTCGGCGTCATCGAACCACGATTTGTTAGCCGCCCGCCGCCGTCGTGGTCGAAGCGCCCCCGGAACAGCCGTACTTGGCCCATTGTCTGGTGCACACAACACTCCGCCCTCTACTTGCCGTGCCCGACGCGGTCATTGTCCTTTGGGCTGTGTTTTACCTTAGGGCTCGGGAGGGCGCACCAGCCATGATCGCCGGCGCAGCACAGTCCTTCTCGCCTACCAAGCCCCTTTTGTTCCATCACTTACATGCTCTAATCAAGATTATGCTACTCAGGTATCCCCACTCGGCATTGACTCTTCGTAGAGCTGAGAGGCTTGGAGTGAACACGCTGTAAATTGACCCATCGTCCAGCAGGACGCTCGTCTTTCTGCATAAGGCTCAGTTGCTTCAGAATCAGCATAGTGGACATGAATCAGAACACCTGACCAAATTTCATCCAAAGCGACCAAACGGGGCTTATACAGTATTTTCAGACTAAAAGCCCAGGGAGCCACACACATACAAACAACAGGGATAATCCATACCTATGCATTAAGGCCAAGGGAAGTAGCAATTTCGTGCTAGGACCTTATTACCATCAGGGCAGGGCTATACAAGCAGCTATATTAGGGTCTAGGCGAGGTGTCTATACGTATAAATACCACTTTTGGATGTCACATAGCTGGATAGATATGCATTAGAAGTTCACCTCTTTAAGACCGCCTTTTCCTTCTACTGTGCTCTCAATACTGTTTGAGAGATAGACACATGGACATTTATAAAGGCAGCGGTATAATCCAGCGTATAACTGAGAGGCTTGATCCGCTAAAGCAGTATCATTACATACTTGTCATTCTCTACGCGCAACTACAAGTACAACAATGATATATTTCCGAGATCCATTTTCAGTAAAGGGAGTACTGCGCTTGTTCGCATTATGGGCGATTGTGCTGCTGCTCTCAGACTTTGGCCACAGCCTGCCCCCTCTAGCAATCGCGCCCTTGAGCTTACAAAAACGTGTGGAGCTTAACATTGATGACCCATCGCCAGGGTTTGTCTATCGTGGGGAAATGAGAAGTCCAGATCAAATTCGTGAAGCTGGCGGATTCCACTCGCGAGGCCTCCAATTGCAACAATCGGGCAAACAACTGAGTGGAGAACAACTATCACGGGGCAGCAGCCTGTTTGAGCATGCTCAAGGGCTCGAAACGACAGAATACACCCGATATGTTTCAACAAGCGCTGATCCGAAAGCGGCCCTGAAGTTCGCCATCGACGACGAAGGAAAGGAAGGAAAAACTGGGTATGTCTTCAAGGTCCGCACTGACAAAAGAATGGTGGCCGTAAACCCATCGCTTGGCTCGTATTCTCCGTTCCAATACCAGAAGGAACACGCAGTGGTTGGGTTTATTCCTCAGGACCAAATCGTCGGCTGGTACAGAATCACAGACGAGACACACTCGTTCACCCCAAAGGGACTTCAAGAAGCTGCGGATAAGATTAAAAACAACGACCTTGAATTTGCCCAGAATCCTACTTATGATGAAAAAAAATACGCTAAGAAGCGCGGCGGAGCGAGGCCTGAGCTCGCAGGGTTTCCAAAAGATCACAAGGCATGGGCAGAGAAACCATGGAAAGCGTTCAAGGACAAACCCGTGAGGGATATTTTTGAACAAATGCTTCAGCGGATATGCGGCAAAGTCAAAGCAAAAAGAGATCTGTCATGCTTAACAAGCTTTGGCTCTCAGGGTAAGCCCATGCCTGGTGGATCAAAAGGTGGAAATCCCAAGGTTGCTCCCGACACTCCTGATCCTAAGAAGCCCCCGAAAAAAGGAAATCCAATGGATATCGAGCCCGGGGCGGCACGGCCGAAGGGAAAAGGCATCAAGGTTTTCCATACCAGATTAACACTCAGGGGAACTGGATCCTTCGCGGCGGGTGCTTTACTGGTCGGGGCACCATTATTGAGAGGCGGATGGGAAAGACTCAAGCAGACGAATACAGTTTTCGGAAAAGCTGCCCAGGCCTTTGACAACTGGGTGGCAGGTATACAGGAGTTAATCGGAGGCCCTCTACAGCCTGATATATATGGAAATGCGTTAAAGAAGAAAATCATTACAGGGATAGGAAAAGCTCTTCAACTCGGGTTTGAGACAGTAAATCAGAAATGGGAAAGGGAGGCTGCTGAAAGGAGGGCCTTAGATATGAAGATGCTGCAAATGGCGGCAGATATCAATGCGCTTCTACAGGCTTGCGACGAGTCAGAAGAAAATTCTTTAGACGATGTCAAGTTTACAGAGGCATACTGTACCAAGCTTCGTAACGAAGTTAAGACAGCAGAGGCCAAGGAAGAAGAGGAGGAGAAAAGGATAAAAGAGGAGGAGAAAAGGACAAAAGAGGAGTGGAAGAAGAGGGAAGATAAGAAGAAGAGGAAGGCAGAGGAAAGAAAGGCTGCCGATACGTTGAGGAGAAAACAGGAGGCAAAGAGGAGAGCCTGTAAAGTAAGTTATCGCCTATTGCTTAAGGCACTGACTCAAGGGCCACCATCCGCTCTAACAAGAATCATAGTGCAAACCTATTCCACCCTTGCGGACTGAGTGCGGTTTAAAGTGCCGGCCACACTTGGTTCTAAGCTTGATGGGAGGTGGCAGGTTTCAGTAACTCTCTTCCTATTTATTTAGGGCTGTAAACAAATGAATCATATCTAAATAAAATCATATAAATCCAAATTAAATTGAATTAAATAGAGTAAAATCTTAGCAGTTATTACTATTAATAAATTATTACTCTAATACTTATAAGGTAGGGGCTAGTAGTAGTAGTAGTAGTAGTAGTAATAGTATTTTTTTATCTAGTAGCCTTATACTACTTAGGTCTCTATAAGGGAGTATAGGACGTACTAAGCTAGTTAGTATCTATATATTATATATTATATAGTTTACTTACTATTTAGTATTTTATTAGCTTAAAGGCGCTTATAATAAACCTAATGCTTATTTACGGGTTATTTAAGTATAAAGAGAGAGCTATCTTATAATTAGATTAATAGATTTAGCTTAAGGCCTTATAGCCCTTAATAACCTAAGTAAGCGGCGCTTAGTTATAAGACTTTAATACTTCCTAAGGTTAAGGTAAGTAATAAAAAGGATTAAGAAGAAAAGATAGGGTAGGAAAAGAGAAGTATAAAAGCTTAGTAGTAAGGGTAGATCCTTAAAAAGAAGGAGCTTACTTTTATTAGCTTAATAAGTTTATTAAAGTCTTTACTTAATACTTAATTACTAGCTATAGTTAGTAAGGATATAGGCTATAGCTTATAATATAGTATAATCTTTTTATAATAAAAGATATATATAAGCTCTTTTTATTATTTATATAAGTAAGTTAATTATATATTATTATAGTTAAACCTTTTATAGTAATTAATAAGGTTAGAAAAAAGGTTATTTAGATCCTTAATATTTTATACTTTAAAAGACTTCTATACTTTCTTAAGGGCCTTTAAGTAAGTCTTCTTAACTTTAAAGTAGCTTTAGCGCTAGTATATAAGCTAGTTTTAAGCTATAGGTATAGATAATAAATCTTAACGCTTCTTAATTATATTTATAATAGCCTTAAGCTCTCGTAAAGAGAGATATAAGAAGTATATATAAAATGCACGAAGGTAAAATTAAAAGTAAGGGGTCGGATAGGCAGGGCAGAGAGATATAATTCTTACGGGAGTAGCAATAAAGGTAGGGGAGTAATTATTATATTGCCTTAATTATCCTTCTTTCCTCTATCTAACGCCCCTCTTTATACCTATCTAGCATCTTAATTAATAAAGAAGATCCTACTTAAAGAAGCTACTAATATCCTTTTAACTACCGAGCTTTTTACCGGTTTTTTCCTTCTTTTCTAGCCGTTGCCGGTATATCCGTCTTATCTCTCGCTACCTCTATAGGAAGCTATCGCTACTTCTACTTCCCCTTATACCCCTACCCTCCTTTCTATACCTCTTTTTAGCTCCTTCTTCCTTCTTCTATACCGGGTGTTTTTAGCTTCCTTAGTCCCTCTTACTAAGGGATATCTCCGAGAACTACGAAATTAAGCTACGCTTCGCAATATACCCCCTTAGCTATAGCCTGCCCTTATAGTAAGGGCATAGCTAATACGGCTTCGGGCTAGTAAGTGTATAGAGGAGGTTCTTAGCTCTATACTTCTCCCTTTACTCGAGGAAAGCAGGGGCCCTTTTAGGTCCCTAGGCTCTTTTAGACCTACTTAAGGAATAGGGGCCTAAAGAGGGGAAAGTCCTATAAGAAAGGGGGCCTTCTTAGAAGGGAAAAACCTAATTAAATAGGGGGCCCTCTAAATAGAAAAACCTCTTCCTTCTCTTCGGCTATAGACGTTACCTTCTCGTACGGGCTATTAGCTCCTCTCGTAGACTCTTAAGGCGGGCCTCTAAGGATAGCTTCTCTCGAACGTCTTCTAGCCTAATTTACTATAAAAAGATAGCTAGCTTCTACTTCGGTAAGGGCTTTATAAGACCGTCGGCTTTTATTAATACCGTTAGAACCTAACGGACGGAAATAAGTCCCCTTTAGACCTCTTAGCGTAACTAATACTAGTAGATATCGATATACTATAGCTAAGTTAATAGCTTACTATTTTCTATAAGAATTCGTATAGTCTATATATTATTATATTCTATAGCTAATAGGGTCGGAATTTATAGTCGTAGAGATATTAGTAGCCGGCTAAGGAAAATCGCTTCTTTTAACGCTTCTAAAAGAGCTAGTAGCTCTGCCTCTATACTTAAAGTCGTAACGGTAGCTTGCTTCGAAGCTCTCTAAGTAATAGTTCCTCTAAAAAGGGATATAATATACCCCTATAAGCTCTTTCTATCTAAGGAATTATCTATAAAGAACGAATTACTCGAATAAAGGAAGATTTTAGTAGCTAATTTCTTCCTTTCCTACCCTCCTAGGCGTAGACTATATAATCTCGTTAAATAGAGATAAAGGATAGCTTAGTCTACTACTTCTTAGTGCCTAGGGCTAGGATTCTAGTTATACCTAGCTAGCTAGGAGACCGTAAAAGAGATATCTATAACGACCAGCGTTATTCCTAAGGGATAAACCTATCGAGGGGTTTATATTAGTAGATATAATAGGGCGTGGTCTAAGTAATAATAAGTATATTACGTTAGTAATAAGTTAAAGGTCGTAGACCGTAGACTATAACTAGGTAATTAAGTGATCGGAATTAGAGATAAGATCGTAATAGAGATCGTAATAATTATAATATATTAAAAGCTATTAAGCTATCTATCTAAAGGAGTAAAAGTAGGTAGCTATATATACCTATAGAGACTATCCTTAGATTATAGGCCTAGCTATAATCCCTAACGTTAGATCGTATAGAGCGTAGTAATCTCGTTAATCCTAGATCGCTTAGATCTCTACGATCTCCTCGATCCTATATCTATTAGATAGTCGTGCCGACTATTTATCTATTAGACCGTGTTACGTGCTTAACGCGGTCGACCGTTAGCGGCCTAGTAGCTATAGTCGTAATATAATATCTCCCCTCCTTTTAGTCTTATCCGTAAGACCTACTATAGCTGCCTTAGCCGCCGTATATAAATATACCCTTATCGCGTCGTGCGTAAGTATATCGTTCCTTATTTCTTTATCCTTTCGGGATATACTGCTAAGTCAGCTCACCTACTTAGGGGCATACCTACTTAAGGGCACGTCTCTATAATACTAACGCGCCGACTAACTCGTATATTATAACCGCGAATTCTCGTGCATCTTATACTTAATTATTATTAAAAAAACATTATTCGAATTAGCAATGTCTTAGCTTTCTAAATATACCGAAGATTAGCTTTAGAACGCTCTAGCTAATATTAAATTCGGCATAGGTTAGGTATAGGCTAGTCGGAAGTAGGGTATTCTAAGGACGATACTTTAGAAACGCCTTAAAGGTGCCTAACTAAAGAGAGAGGCATACGAATGCTATTAAAGGCTTAGCCGAGAGCAAGAGAAACACCTCTAGGATTAGGTTCTTGCCTAAGCCGCCCTTAGGCTCCCCCTAACGTATCTCTAGCTAAGGGAATTCGCCGGCCGTATTATTACGGCTATAGGCGATACCCGCCTACTTAGAAAACACTAGGTAGTAGGCTTTTTAGCCCGAAATCTAGAGGTTAGCACGATTAAAGGTAAAGCTCTTGATTCTGCTCGTATTAACGGCGCTTCTATAGCCCGGATTAAGGAGTGGTTCTAGTTACTTAAGCTCCCGGCTTTATAGGCTATTCCCCCGGAATCACGCTTTAATATAGACGAGATAGGTATCCTCGAAGGCCTCGGCTATAACGGCCTTATACTAGGGAGCCTAGAGAAGAAGGAGACGCTTAAGAAGCGGCTTAGGTCGCGTTATTAGACTATAATAGTAGAATGCGTCTCTACTACTAGCCGGGCCTTAACTCCTCTTATAATCTTTAAAGGTTAGGACCTTTAATACTAATAGTTCCTTAAAGAACTCGACTTTCTAAAGGATTAAGACTTTATAGCCTCTCTAAAGGGCTAGACGAGCGACTCTATCGCGATTTAATAGCTTAAGTAGGTCTTTATCCTATAAATAAGAAGCTAGCTATAAGGCAACGTCCTCTTAATTATAGATAGCTACGGAAGCTATTAGACTAACGATTTTATATACGAATGCTTCCTATACGGTATATATCTCCTTTTCCTACCTCTATACGCCTCGCACGTCCTTTAACCTCTCGATATCTTAATTTTTTCGCTAATTAAAGCTGCCTACTAACGTTAACTCTAAAAATTCGCTTCTCTCGACGATATAGCACTAATTAGCAAGGCACTTTTCCTTCGCTGCTATTATTAGGCCCGGCAGGCCGGCCTAACTAAGAAAAATATTAAAGGGGGGTAGCGAGGGATAGGACTTTAGCTAGTTAATATAGCAAAGCTATTAATAAGCCGCTTTATCTTGCCCACGCCGTTAACGCCGTTACTACTAAAGAGGAAGAAGAATTTAAGCTTAATAGATAATAGCGATGCCCTTAAAACACCGAGACGATTATAGGAAGTCTATAGGCTTATTAGGGGGCTCGAAAATCGCGGTTAAGTTAACCGTACGATCTATATACTTTTTAGCAAAGTTAGCTATAGCCTTAATCGTTAGAATATATAGCTTATAACGGCATAGCTATATATATAATAGCTTAAGTATTAATTATATTATCTACGGCCTTAAAAGCAACGAAAAATCGCCTAAGATCTAAATAGCCGGTTTATACGGATTAAATAAGTTATTAAGACGAGGAAATAGCTTTAACGCGCCCTTAAGCCGTTTACTATCGTAATAGCTAATTAGAAGGCGGATTTTAAAGCTCTATATAGAAGCTAGTAGCTAGAATAGTAGGAAAACACTATAATTAAGTATCGCGATATAAAAACGCGGCTTTAATTACTATTAGAATATACTGTCTTAGTTATATAAGACGTGCCCTTAAGTAGGTATGCCCCTAAGTAGGTAAGCTAACTTAATAGTATATCTAGTCGTATACTAAAAAGTCGTTCCTAAAAAGCCTCTAAGC